GCCTGCCTGCTGCCTACCTGTGTTTCATCAGGAATTCTGCATTGGGCGCACTACTTCTCCAACTCTTGCTGCATAAATGGAACAATCACCTTGTATCCTATGGTAAGTTACCCTTCCTTTTCCCCCTCCAGCCCTGCCACTTTACGCAATTACGCGTTACTCCCGGCGATTGACCACCAACTTCTCGTTTCAGCAACTTCACTTATTCAACCTCTTTCCTGCGAGAACCCCCTGTTCTTGTTTCCCCTACCACCACCTCATTTACTACTACCTGTGCAGTTGGCTAACACCTCGCAATTTCTCCCCCAGTTGTCCACCTCCGCCTCCAGCACCACCACACCGCTGTCAAGACATCAACACGACATTCCTCCCCTAATGCCACTTACCACATGTTAATACAATTATTACTGTAAGGAAGGACTTGGCGTGTCGTCCAATTACTCTTCTACCTCACGTCTCAAGTGGGACGCACATGTTTTTAGTTATTCCCAGCCTTCAGCCAGTTCTTCTCTTCTGCCAATTCGTCACCACCTTGGTCCTCCTTACCACTACTATTTATTGTTGACATGTCAGTTATATACGCTTTCGGCTTGCAGATATGCTTGTCATTCCCTTGGAAGATGTTTACTTATTCGAGCAATTGTTGTAGAAGACACTTCGTCGCATCCTTCATTCAACTCTTCATTTTCTCTGCGCTGGGCTAAGCTGGGCTGGGCTGGGCTAAACTGCCTCTGGTCCGGCTCAGCTGTTGTGGAGGCGATACTTGTTGCCAGTGGCGTGAACCAGCAGCCCACTGGAGGTAGTTTTGAGCGGATGTGCAAGCGGCCATGTGACGTGTTGGTGAGTTGAGAGGGTTGCGCTTCATGTAGTCTCTTGTCCACTGTACGCCATATTTTCATTTTTATTTTTTGTAATGTCCTCGTAAAGGCGGTCAGGCGTATTCCTCTGCTAGATGCCTTTTCTGCAGTTGTTACAATTCTAACCGTGGGCCAATTTGAATTTGACTAGTTGATTTTTTTTCCACTTTACTTCTTTTT